TGGGTGGCTAATTGGGTGTGGCTAGTTGGGTGTGACTGGGTGGGTGTGGCTGGTTGGGTGTATAGATGTGGCTGGGGGATTAGGTGGGTGGGGGTGGGAAGGCGTAGGTGGGTGGGGGGTGGGTAGGGGTAGGTGGTTGGGTAGGTAGGTAGGAGGGTAGGTGGGTAGGTGGGAAGGTGGATAGGTGGATAGGTAGGTAGGAGGGTAGGTGGGTAGGTGGGAAGGTGGATAGGAGGGTAGGAGGGTAGGTGGGTAGGTGGGAAGGTGGATAGGTAGGTAGGAGGGTAGGAGGGTAGGTGGGAAGGTGGGAAGGTGGATAGGTAGGTAGGAGGGTAGGTGGGAAGGTGGATAGGTAGGTAGGAGGGTAGGTGGGAAGGTGGATAGGTAGGTAGGACGGTAGGAGGGTAGGTGGGAAGGTGGATAGGTAGGTAGGAGGGTAGGTGGGTAGGTGGGTAGGTGGGAAGGTGGATAGGTGGATAGGTAGGTAGGAGGGTAGGTGGGTAGGTGGGAAGGTGGATAGGTAGGTAGGTGGGTAGGTGGGAAGGTGGATAGGTGGATAGGTAGGTAGGAGGGTAGGTGGGTAGGAGGGTAGGTGGGAAGGTGGATAGGTAGGTAGGAGGGTAGGTGGGTAGGTGGGTAGGTGGGTAGGTGGGAAGGTGGATAGGTGGATAGGTAGGTAGGAGGGTAGGTGGGTAGGTGGGAAGGTGGATAGGAGGGTAGGAGGGTAGGTGGGTAGGTGGGAAGGTGGATAGGTAGGTAGGAGGGTAGGAGGGTAGGTGGGTAGGTGGGAAGGTGGATAGGTAGGTAGGAGGGTAGGTAGGAAGGTGGATAGGTGGGTAGGAGGGTAGGTGGTTAGGTGGGTAGGTGGGAAGGTGGATAGGTAGGTAGGAGGGTAGGAGGGTAGGTGGGAAGGTGGATAGGTAGGTAGGAGGGTAGGTGGGAAGGTGGGAAGGTGGATAGGTAGGTAGGAGGGTAGGTGGGAAGGTGGATAGGTAGGTAGGAGGGTAGGAGGGTAGGTGGGAAGGTGGATAGGTAGGTAGGAGGGTAGGTGGGTAGGTGGGAAGGTGGATAGGTAGGTAGGAGGGTAGGAGGGTAGGTGGGTAGGTGGGAAGGTGGATAGGAGGGTAGGTGGGAAGGTGGATAGGTAGGTAGGAGGGTAGGTGGGAAGGTGGATAGGTGGATAGGTAGGTAGGAGGGTAGGTGGGTAGGTGGGAAGGTGGATAGGTAGATAGGAGGGTAGGTGGGTAGGTGGGAAGGTGGATAGGTAGGTAGGAGGGTAGGTGGGTAGGTGGGAAGATGGGTAGGTGGGAAGGTGGATAGGTGGATAGGTAGGTAGGAGGGTAGGAGGGTAGGTGGATGGGTAGGTGGCTAGGTGACTGGGTAGGTGGGTGGGTAGGAGGGTAGGTGGATGGGTAGGTAGGTAGGTGGATGTTTGGGTGGGTAGGTGGTTGGGTGTAGGTGGGTGATTGGTTGGGTGTAGGTGGGTAGGTGGCTGGGTGGGTGGTAGGGTGTGGCTGGATGACTGGTTGGGTGGGGCTGGGTGACTGGTAGTGGGTAGTTGGGTGTGGTTGGGTGTGGCTGGGTGTAGGTGGGTGTAAGTAGGTAGGTAGGTAGGTTGCTGGGAGGCTGGGTAGGAGGGTAGGTGGCTAGGTGGTTAGGTGACTGGGTAGGTGGCTAGGTACGTATGTGGCTGGGTAGGAGGGTAGGCGGGTAGGTGACTGGGTAGGTGGGTAGGTAGGTAGGTGGCTGAGTAGGTGGGTAGGTGGGAAGGTGGGTAGGTGGGTAGGTGGCTGGGTAGGTGGGTAGGTGGCTGGGTAGGTGGGTAGGTGGCTGGGTAGGTGGGTAGGTGGCTGGGTAGGTGGGTAGGTGGCTGGGTAGGTGGGTAGGTGGGAAGGTGGGTAGGTGGGAAGGTGGGAAGGTGGGTAGGTGGGTAGGTGGCTGGGTAGGTGGGAAGGTGGGTAGATGGGTAGGTGGGTAGGTGGGAAGGTGGGTAGGTGGGTAGGTGGGAAGGTGGGTAGGTGGGTAGGTGGGTAGGTGGGAAGGTGGGAAGGTGGGTAGGTGGGTAGGTGGCTGGGTAGGTGGGAAGGTGGGTAGGTGGGAAGGTGGGTAGGTGGCTGGGTAGGTGGGTAGGTGGCTGGGTAGGTGGGAAGGTGGGTAGGTGGGTAGGTGGCTGGGTAGGTGGGTAGGTGGCTGGGTAGGTGGGTAGGTGGGAAGGTGGGAAGATGGGTAGGTGGGAAGGTGGATAGGTGGGTAGGTGGGAAGGTGGGTAGGTGGGAAGGTGGGTAGGTGGGAAGGTGGGTAGGTGGGAAGGTGGGTAGGTGGCTGGGTAGGTGGGTAGGTGGGTAGGTGGGAAGGTGGGTAGGTGGGAAGGTGGGTAGGTGGGTAGGTGGCTGGGTAGGTGGGTAGGTGGGTAGGTGGGAAGGTGGGTAGGTGGGAAGGTGGGTAGGTGGGAAGGTGGCTGGGTGGGTGGGTAGGTGGGTGGGTGGGTGGGTAGGTGGGAAGGTGGGTAGGTGGGAAGGTGGGTAGGTGGGTAGGTGGGAAGGTGGGTAGGTGGGAAGGTGGGAAGGTGGGAAGGTGGGTAGGTGGGAAGGTGGGAAAGTGGGTAGGTGGGAAGGTGGGAAGGTGGGAAGGTGGGAAGGTGGGTAGGTGGGAAGGTGGGAAGGTGGGTAGGTGGGTAGGTGGCTGGGTAGGTGGGAAGGTGGCTGGGTAGGTGGGTAGGTGGGTAGGTGGGAAGGTGGGTAGGTGGGAAGGTGGGAAGGTGGGTAGGTGGGTAGGTGGGAAGGTGGGTAGGTGGGAAGGTGGGAGTGTGGGTAGGTGGGTAGGTGGGAAGGTGGGTAGGTGGGAAGGTGGGTAGGTGGGAAGGTGGGTAGGTGGGTAGGTGGGAATGTGGGTAGGTGGGAAGGTGGGTAGGTGGGAAGGTGGGTAGGTGGCTGGGTAGGTGGGTAGGTGGGAAGGTGGGAAGGTGGGTAGGTGGGAAGGTGGGAAGGTGGGAAGGTGGGTAGGTGAGGTGAGGTGGGAAGGTGGGAAGGTGGGTAGGTGGGAAGGTGGGTAGGTGGGAAGGTGGGAAGGTGGGAAGGTGGGAAGGTGGGTAGGTGGGTAGGTGGGAAGGTGGGAAGGTGGGAAGGTGGGAAGGTGGGTAGGTGGGAAGGTGGGAAGGTGGGTAGGTGTGTAGGTGGCTGGGTAGGTGGGTAGGTGGGTAGGTGGGAAGGTGGGAAGGTGGGTAGGTGGGAAGGTGGGTAGGTGGGAAGGTGGGAAGGTGGGTTGGTGGGAAGGTGGGTAGGTGGGAAGGTGGGTAGGTGGGAAGGTGGGTAGGTGGGTAGGTGGGAAGGTGGGTAGGTGGGAAGATGGGTCGGTGGCTGGGTAGGTGGGTAGGTGGGTAGGTGGCTGGGTAGGTGGGTAGGTGGGAAGGTGGGAAGGTGGGAAGGTGGGTAGGTGGGAAGGTGGGAAGGTGGGTAGGTGGGAAGGTGGGTAGGTGGGAAGGTGGGAAGGTGGGTAGGTGGCTGGGTGGGTGGGAAGGTGGGAAGGTGGGTAGGTGGGTAGGTGGGAAGGTGGGTAGGTGGGTAGGTGGGTAGGTGGGAAGGTGGGAAGGTGGGTAGGTGGGTAGGTGGGTAGGTGGGTAGGTGGGAAGGTGGGAAGGTGGGAAGGTGGGTAGGTGGGAAGGTGGGTAGGTGGGAAGGTGGGAAGGTGGGTAGGTGGCTGGGTAGGTGGGTAGGTGGGTAGGTGGGAAGGTGGGTAGGTGGGTAGGTGGGAAGGTGGGAAGGTGGGTAGGTGGGTAGGTGGCTGGGAAGGTGGGTAGGTGGGTAGGTGGGTAGGTGGCTGGGTAGGTGGATAGGTGGGAAGGTGGGAAGGTGGGTAGGTGGGAAGGTGGGTAGGTGGGAAGGTGGGTAGGTGGGTAGGTGGGTAGGTGGGAAGGTGGGTAGGTGGGTAGGTGGCTGGGTAGGTGGGTAGGTGGCTGGGTAGGTGGGTAGGTGGCTGGGTAGGTGGGTAGGTGGGAAGGTGGGAAGGTGGGTAGGTGGGAAGGTGGGTAGGTGGGAAGGTGGGTGGGGGTGGCTGGGTGGGTTGTTGGGTGTGGGTGGGGGTGGCTGGGTGGGTTGTTGGGTGTGGGTGGGTAGTTGGGTGTGGGTGGGGGTGGCTGGGTGGGTTGTTGGGTGTGGGTGGGTAGTTGGGTGTGGGTGAGGGTGGCTGGGTGGGTTGTTGGGTGTGGGTGGCTGGGTGGGATGTTGGGTGTGGGTGGGTAGTTGGGTGTGGGTGGGGGTGGCTGGGTGGGTTGTTGGGTAGGTGGGGATGGTTAGTGGTAGGTGGTTGGCTGGGTGGTGGGGTAGATGGGGTTAGGTGGGGGTAGGTGGTGTGGTGGGTAGGGATAGATGGTGGGGTGGGTGGGTGTGGATAGGTGGGCGTTTCACAAAGGATTAGGAGAGGCTGGGTCTCTGGGTGTTTGGGTGGGTGTGGCTGTGTGGATGGGTGTGACTGTGGCTGGGGTGGGTGGTTGGGCGTGGCTGTTGCTGGGTGGCTAGTTCGGTGTGGCTGGGTGAGGGTGGGCGGTTGATTGGGGGGGTGAGCGGTTGGGTGTGGCTGAGTGTTTAGGTGTGGCTGGGTGGGTGGGTGTGGCTGGGTGGGTGGGTGTGGCTGGGTGGGTGGGTGTGGCTGGGTGTAGCTGGTGGTGTGGGTGGTTGGGTGTAGGTGGGTGGGTGGTTGGGTGGTTAGGTGTGGCTGGCTGGCTGGGTGTGTCTGAGTGGGGGTGAGCGGTTGAGTGTGGCTGGGTGTAGGTGGGTGATTGGTTGGATGTAGGCGAGTAGGTGGCTGGATGGTTAGGTGTGGCTGGCTGGGTGTTTGGGTGGGTGGGTGTAGGTGGGTAGGTGGCTGGCTGGGTGCGTGGTTGGGTGTGGCTGGGTGGTTGGGGATGGGTAGCTGGGTGAGTGGTTGGGTGTGGGTGTATAGGTGTGGCTGGGTGATTTAGTGGGTGGGGGTGGGCAGGTGTAGGTGTGTGGGGGTGTGTAGGGTTAGGTAGTTGGGTGTTGCTGGGTGTAGTTGGGTGTAGTTGGGTGTGGCTGGGCGATGGGGTAGGTGGGAATAGGTGATAGGGTGGGTGAGTGGGGGTAGTTGGTGGGGTAGCTGGGTGGCTGGTTGGGTGTAGCTGAGTTGGTAGTTGGGTGTGGTTGAGTGAGTAGTTAGATGTGGTTTAGTGGGTAGTTGGGTGGGGTTGGGTGGGTGTGTGGTTGTGGTTGGGTGGGTGTGGTTGGGTGGGTGGGTGTGGGTGTAGTTAGGTAGGTGGGTGGGTGGGTGTAGTTAGGTAGGTGGGTGGGTGGGTGTAGTTAGGTAGGTGGGTGGGTGGGTGTAGTTAGGTAGGTGGGTGGGTGGGTGTAGTTAGGTAGGTGGGTGGGTGGGTGTAGTTAGGTAGGTGGGTGGGTGGGAGTAGTTAGGTAGGTGGGTGGGTGGGAGTAGTTAGGTAGGTGGGTGGGTGGGTGTAGTTAGTTGGGTGGGTGGGCGTGGTTGGGTGGGTGGGCGTGGTTGGGTGGGTGGGTGGGTGGGTGGGTGGGTGGGTGGGTGGGTGGGTGGGTGTGGTTGGGTGGCTGGGTGGCTGGTTAGGTGTGCCTGGGTAGGGTGTGGGTGTATAGGTGTGGCTGGGTGATTAGGTGGGTGGGGATGGGTAGGTGTAGGTGGGTGGGGATGGGTAGGTGTAGGTGGGTGGGGGTGGGTAGGTGTAGGTGGGTGGGGGTGGGTGGGGGTAGGTAGGTGTAGGTAGGTGTAGGTAGGTGTAGGTAGGTGTAGGTGGGTGGAGGTGAGTGGTGTTAGGTGGTTGGGTGTGGCTGGGTGGGTACTTGGGTGTGGTTGGGCGGTGGGGTAGGTGGGAATAGGTGTTAGGGTGGGTAGCTGGGTGACTAGCTGAGTGGGTAGTTGGGTGTGGTTGGGTGGGTGGGTGTGGTTGGTTGGGTGGGGGGCTGGGTGTGGTTGGTTGGGTGGGGGGCTGGGTGTGGTTGGTTGGGTGGGGGGCTGGGTGTGGTTGGTGGGTGGGTGTGGTTGGGTGGGGGCTGGGTGTGGTTGGTTGGGTGGGGGGCTGGGTGTGGTTGGTTGGGTGGGGGGCTGGGTGTGGTTGGTTGGGTGGGGGGCTGGGTGTGGTTGGTTGGGTGGGGGCTGGGTGTGGTTGGTTGGGTGGGGGCTGGGTGTGGTTGGTTGGATGGGTGGCTGGGTGTGGTTGATTGGATGGGTGGCTGGGTGTGGTTGGTTGGATGGGTGGCTGGGTGTGGTTGGGTGGGTGGGTGTGGTTGGGTGGGTGGGTGTGGTTGGGTGGGTGGGTGTGGTTGGGTGGGTGGGTGTGGTTGGGTTTGTGGTCGGGTGGGTGTGGGTGGTTATGGTTGGGTGGGTGGGTGTGGTTGGTTGGGTGGGTGTGGTTGGGTGGGTGGGTGGGTGGGTGGGTGTGGTTGGGTGGTTGGGTGGGTGGGTGGGTGGTGTGGTTGGGTGGGTGGGTGGTGTGGTTGGGTGGTTGGATATGGTTTAGTGGATAGTTGGGTGTGTGTGGGTGGGTGGTTGGTTAGGTGTGCCTGGGTAGCTGAGTAGGTGGGTGTGGGTGGTGGTGGGCGGTTGGGGGGGGGGGCGGTTGGGGGGGGGGGCGGTTGGGGGGGGGGGCGGTTGGGGGGGGGGGCGGTTGGGGGGGGGGCGGTTGGGGGGGGGGCGGTTGGGGGGGGGCGGTTGGGGGGGGGCGGTTGGGGGGGGGCGGTTGGGGGGGGGGCGGTTGGGGGGGGGGCGGTTGGGGGGGGGCGGTTGGGGGGGGGGGCGGTTGGGGGGGGGGCGGTTGGGGGGGGGGCGGTTGAGGGGGGGGGCGGTTGGGGGGGGGGCGGTTGGGGGGGGGCGGTTGGGGGGGGGGCGGTTGGGGGGTGGGCGGTTGGGGGGTGGGCGGTTGGGGGGTGGGCGGTTGGGGGGTGGGCGGAGGTGGGTGATTAGTTGGGTGGTGGGTAGGTGGCTGGGTGGTTGGGTGGGGCTGGGTGGGTGGCTGGTTTGGTGAGTGGTTGGGTGTGGGTGGATGGTTAGTTGGGTGTGGCTGGGTGGCTGGTTGGGTGTGGCTGGTTGGGTGGATAGGTGGGTGGGGGTAGGTGGGTGGGGGTAGGTGGGTGGGGGTAGGTGGGTGGGGGTAGGTGGGTGGGGGTAGGTGGGTGGGGGTAGGTGGGTGGGGGTAGGTGGGTGGGGGTAGGTGGGTGGGGGTAGGTGGGTGGGGGTAGGTGGGTGGGGGTAGGTGGGTGGGGGTAGGTGGGTGGTTGAATAAGGCTGGGTGGTTGGGTGGGTATTTGGGTGTGGCTGGGTGGTTGGCTGGGTGGTTGGCTGGGTGGGGGTGGGCGGGGTTACGTGATTGGGTAGGTGGTTGTGGTTGTGACTGGGTGGTGGGGTGGCTGGGGGGTGGGTAGGTGACTGATTGGGTGTAACTGAGTGGGTAGTTAGGTGTGGTTGGGTGGGTGTGGGGGGCTAGGTGTGGCTGGGTGGATGGGTGTTGTTGGGTGTGGCTGTGGCTGGGTGGTTAGGTGGCTTGGGGTAGCTGGTTGGGTGTGGCTGGGTGAGGCTGGGCGGTTGGGTGGGGATGGATGGTTGCGTGTGGCTGGGTGAGGCTGGGCGGTAGGGTGGGGATGGGCGGTTGCGTGTGGCTGGGTGAAGGTGGGTGATGGGTTGGGTGTAGGTGGGTAGGTGGCTGGGTAGCTGGGTGGTTAGGTGTGGTTGGCTGGGTGTGGCTTGGTTGCTAGATGGGTGGTTAGGTGTGGCTGGGTAGTTGGGTGTGGTTGGGGGCGGCTGGCTGGTTGGGCGTGGCTGGCTGCTTGGGGGTTGGGTAGTTGGGTGTGGCTGGGTGGCTAGCTAGGTGGTTGGCTGGGTGATTGGGTGTGGCTGGCTCGCTGTGTGGCTGGTCGGATGTGTCTGGGTGGTTGGTAGGGTATGGCTAGATGGTTGGTTGGGTGTAGCTGGGTGGTTGGTTGGGTGGGGGTAGGTGGCTGGTTGGAGTGTGGCTGAATAGCTAGTAGGGGTATGGGTAGGTGGTTTGTCGGGGTATGGCTAGGTGTCTGGGTGGTTGGGTCTGTGGTTAGGTGTGGCTGGGTGGTTAAATGGGTATGGAGGTGGCTGGGGTTAGTGGCTAGGTTGTGACTGGGTGATTGGGTAGCGGTAGCGGTAGCGGTAGCGGTAGCGGTAGCGGTAGCGGTAGCGGTAGCGGTAGCGGTAGCGGTAGGGGTAGGGGTAGGGGTAGGGGTAGGGGTAGGGGTAGGGGTGGGGGTGGCTGGGGGTGGCTGGGGGTGGCTGGGGGTGGCTGGGGGTGGCTGGGGGTGGCTGGGGGTGGCTGGGGGTGGCTGGGGGTGGCTGGGGGTGGATGGGTTGGTATTTTGATGTGCCTGAGTAGTTCAGTGGGGGGTGGGGGTAGCTGGGGTGTAGCTGGGTGGTTGGGTGTAGCTGGGTAGCTGGGTGTGATGAGTGGGTAACCACCTAGCAACCCAACCACACCCAAGTAGTAGGATGTGATTAGGATAGGCTGGCTGGTTAGGGGTGGGTAGTTGGGCGTGGCTGGGTGGGTGTGGCTTGTTGGGTGCGGTTGAGTGTAGTTGTCTGGGTGATTGAGTGGGGGTGGCGGTAGGTGGCTAGGGGGTGGCTGGGTAGTTGGCTGGGGATTTGGCGGGGGGGGTTGGCGGGGGAGTCGGCTGAAGGGTTGGTGGGGGGAGTTGGCGGGGAAGTTGGCTGGGGGGTTGGCGGGGGGGTTGGCGGGAGGGTTGGCGGGAGGGTTGGCGGGAGGGTTGGCGGGAGGGTTGGCGGGAGGGTTGGCGGGAGGGTTGGCGGGAGGGTTGGCGGGAGGGTTGGCGGGAGGGTTGGCGGGAGGGTTGGCGGGAGGGTTGGCGGGAGGGTTGGCGGGAGGGTTGGCGGGAGGGTTGGCTGGGGAGTTGGCTAGAGAGTTGGCTGGAGGGTTGGTGGGGGGGTTGGCTGGAGGGTTGGTGGGGGGGTTGGCTGGAGGGTTGGTGGAGGGGTTGGCTGGAGGGTTGGTGGAGGGGTTGGCTGGAGGGTTGGTGGAGGGGTTGGCTGGAGGGTTGGTGGGGGAGTTGGCTAGAGAGTTGGCTGGAGGGTTGGCTGGGGGGTTGGTGGGGGATTGGTGGGGGGTTGGCTGGAGGGTTGGCTGGAGGGTTGGCTGGAGGGTTGGTGGGGGGTTGGTGGGGGGTTGGTGGGGGGTTGGTGGGGGGTTGGTGGGGGGTTGGTGGGGGGTTGGTGGGGGGTTGGTGGGGGGTTGGTGGGGGGTTGGTGGGGGGTTGGCGGGAGGGTTGGCGGGGGAGTTGGCTAGAAGGCTGAGGATGGGGTTGAGGATGGTTGGGAGGGTGGCTGAGGTGGGGTGGCTGAGGTGGGGTGGCTGGGGTGGGGAGGCTGGAGTGGGGTGGCTGGGAGGGTGGCTATGGGGGGGGGGGTGGAAGGTAAAAAATAAAAAAAAAAAAAAAAAAAAAAAAAAAAAAAAGTTGGGGAGTGGTTTGAGGGTGGCTGGGGGGGGGGGTTGAGGGAGTAGTTTGAGGGTGGGTGGGGGGGGGGGGTTGGGAGGGCGGTTGGGGGGGTGGTTGGGAGGGTTGGTGGGGAAGTTGGCTGGAGGGTTGGTGGGGGGGTTAGCTGGAGGGTTGGCCGGAGGGTTGAGGATGGTTGGGAGGGTGGCTGGGGTGGGGTTGGGGGGTGGAAGGTGAAAGGGTGATTGGAGGGTGGTTGGGTAAAAGGTTTGAGGGTGATTGGGGGGGTGCCTGGGGGGTGGCTGGGGGAGTAGTTGGGGGAGTGGCTGGGAGGTGGCTGGGGGAGTAGTTGGGGGAGTGGCTGGGAGGGTGGCTGTGGGGGGGGGGGTGGAAGGTAAAAAAGGTGGTTGGAGAATAGTTGGGGGGAGTGGTTTGAGGGTGGGTGGGGGGGGTGTCTAGGGGGTGGTGGCTCGGGGGGGTGGCTGGGGGGTGGTTGGGGGGGGTGAAAGGTATAAAGGTAGTTGGAGGAAAATTAGGGGAGTGGTTTGAGGGTGGCTGGGGGGGGTTGAGTGAGTAGTTTGAGGATGGCTAGGGAGGGTGGCTGGGGGGGTGGAGGGTGAAAGGGTGGTTGGAGGATGGTTGGGCGTGATTTGAGGGTGGCTAGGGGAGGTGGCTGAGGGGGTGGAGGGTGAAAGGGTGGTTAGAGGGTGGTTGGAGGATGGTTAGGCGAGTGGTTGGAGGATGGTTAGGCGAGTGGTTTGAGGGTGGCTAGGGGAGGTGGCTGAGGGGGTGGAGGGTGAAAGGGTGGTTAGAGGGTGGTTGGAGGATGGTTAGGCGAGTGGTTGGAGGATGGTTAGGCGAGTGGTTTGAGGGTGGCTAGGGGAGGTGGCTGAGGGGGTGGAGGGTGAAAGGGTGGTTAGAGGGTGGTTGGAGGATGGTTAGGCGAGTGGTTGGAGGATGGTTAGGCGAGTGGTTTGAGGGTGGCTAGGGGAGGTGGCTGAGGGGGTGGAGGGTGAAAGGGTGGTTAGAGGGTGGTTAGAGGATGGTTAGGCGAGTGGTTGGAGGATGGTTAGGCGAGTGGTTTGAGGGTGGCTGGGAGGACGAGTGTCGCGTCTCTAAACCGCTTTTACTTTTCTTCTCCCTCTCTTTGAGGCTTCTGGGGTTCTTGATTTTCTTTTCATCCCTTTTCTACTTTTATCAGATTATTTTGTGATTTTATTTCACAATCACATGGTGATAATTGTTAGTAATAAGTAACAATTCATATCTAAAGTTTTTATTTGATTGGCTCAAAATCAGGGCCGGATTATCCTTTAGGTTAGTATAGGCTGCAGCCTAGGGTTTGGTTATGAAAAATTTGTTTTTCACGACGGTTGTCTTAAAATACCACTTTTACTATATTTGAATAT